GATATCCGTCAAATGATAATAAAGTTACCATGCCATATTTCGATGACGACAACAGTTCCGAAGATGGTAGCGATTTGGAGTTTATTCGGCCTGAATGGAGTGATACCATACCAAAACAAACGTGACAGAACGTTTTTGTATGCTAAACGATATAAAATTACACAATGCACGCGGTAAATTTACTGGATTTTGTATAGTTTAAACAAATTTGCGCTAAAGGAAAATAAGATGAAAGCAATTTTAAAATGCTGAAATTTACGAAAGTAAGAATCAGGGTCCAAGTATGGAATATGTACTTATATTTTTATTGTATATTTTTATATTAGAGAGAAACGTGTTACTTTCTGATGATAATTATATTATTTTACAAATGTATCATATAAATGTTTAAGAAACAGAATGCAATTTTTTAGAATCATATAAGAAATATTATAAATACGTAAACACATCAGAAAATTATATCAGGGTTTTAAATGAAGTAAGAAAGCGTAGAGAGAAACTTTTTGAATTGTTAACTTTCACAAGAACGAATGTAAAAGGAAAATATCAGTGTTCAAAATTACTGTATATATTATATTTAGATATATATCATCACGTTAAGAACAAACACGTGAACGTTGAAGTAACGAAAGATATTTTAGCGGTTTGTTCTTATTTAATGCTAGCTAGGATTTACTTGTATATGATGAATTTTTTTATTTGTATTGCGTAGTTTAGTTATGCAAATGCTGAAATCTAAGAAAAAGAAGTATTTTTTTCTTTTTTTCTATTTTCAGTTAAGATAAAAATACACGAAGTAATGTACCCCTCGAGAAAAAGAGAGATCGAACTTTTTTTCTTAAACTATTTAGATTTTAACCTTATTACATTTGTAGCAAAAAACGAATAATTTTTGCGCATTAATCATAATTTACGCAAAAATACTTCCGTATACAGATCATTCCAATATACTAAATAAATATAAGAAATAGTATTTGGTACTTAAAATTAGCAATTTTTTTTGGTACAAAATTTAGAAAATTAGAGCAGTAAATTATAACAGTAAAGGATTAAGTCTTAGATTATCACAGTTTTGGTTTTAAAATAAGCAAATTTTCTGTTAAATTAAATATGTCTATAGATGTAAATATAGCACAAAATTTTATATCAGAATTTTTCATAAGATAGAAAGATGCCGAAAGGATCCTTCTTTTACTTGAATCGTTAGCTTTATACATCATATACAAAATGTAAGTCAATTATGTATATATCTTTAGAATTGATAATTGATTTATTCCTATGGTGACAACAATGCACGCCGTAATTTTTCAGATCGTTAAATAGTTTTGTTCAAGAATTTTTAGAATTGTATAACATGCGCACCGAAATGATTTTGTATCCTCTTTCATCCTGCACAAAGTTGTGCAAATCAGAATTCCGTCTACAGAATTGTGTGTAACATTCATGTTTTAACGAATCATAAATTTCGTCCATAAGATAGTTAAAAAGGCATGAAAATATTAATGTTGTGTTTTATTATTATTATAATTATTTTTCAGGATTTTCAATTTTTTAATATTTCCTACACATTTTGAATCTCTTAATTTGAATAGCAGTGTAGTAGTAGTAATAGTAGTAATAGTAGCAGCAGTAGCAATAGTAATAGTAATAATTATTATTATTAGTGTTTAAGACTGATTTTGACCAAATTTCAATTACTTTATCGGTAATTAACTTATCAAGCAACAACTGTACTATTTCATTAATATAATAGAATTATTGTTTAGTATATGTAAGTATATATTTTAATTGATTATCCCATTTATACATCGATCTCAAAATGCAGCAAAATTTAAAAGCTGAGACGTCTGAGACCAGCTGATGACTGATCCAGTAGAATCGCGATGGCCGCCGCCGAGTGATGAACTCAATAGTGTGACAGGGATGTCCGCTAGTTGGAGTAAATTGAAGTAAATGTCTAGCAAAACAAGCTAGTTGATTCATTTCATGTAAGAAGAATGGCGGGGTTAGAAGGCTACGGTGATGTCTACAGAGGTCGGCCTGCTAGATCGTGGGAGACAGCAGGAACATCCTATCCGCAAAGGTACCACGGTCGAGAGGTTATCCGTCCTTTGGACATACCCGTTATCCATCCACTAGCAGAAGACAATCCACCGGTCGTCGACGATGGTAAGTCGCGTTCTCGTTTTATTCGCTGATCGACAGAAGTTCCGCGAAAGATGTCCACTGATTGATCATAAACTTAAACTAAGACTTAAACCTACTAGCAATAAAAACCAACAATAACAATTACTATTAGTTGTTCAATTTCCTGTTCAATAAAATAATTCTTATGTGTTATATAATTGTTATATGTTAAACTTATATTATTGTTGAGAAATTATAACTAATAGTTATGTTATTGTTAGTTGATGTTTATTAGATATATATTTAGTTTGTTTGACTACTTACTTGCAGATATCACCGTCAGCAAGTATGTTGGATTAGGTTGTGGACTAGTGAGCTTGATCACAGGAAACCTACTGATCCATCCCTTCGTGGTGTTACGAAGACAATGCCAAGTCAATCCAAGTGCATCTAGGTATCATCTAATGCCTATAACTCTAGTACCTGTGATGGTACGTTTGCACCAAACTCAAGGTATAAATACACTATGGAAAGGGATCGGTTCGGTTTTACTTGTCAGAGGAATGACAATGGCTGTCGAGGATCTGATTTCGAAAATCACACCATGGCAAAAGTAAGGCGATCATCAAATGATGAATGGTTGACGTTTCATAAATTATTCATGAAATTGTCTTCTCCTTAAAACTAGACACTTGATTTCAGGAAGATCACTTATAACAATTCGATGAAAGCATTCGGTCAACATATACTCCTCAAATGGTAATTATTATATTAATCAAAAATGGTAATTATTATTAGGTGTTGGAATTAATTCGTAGCGTTTTTTAAGTAATGGGAAGTACTTTCATTAATGTATTTTTTAATGCTCATGTGAAATAAATAACATTCTTTCATTAAAAAACGCTACGAATTAATTCCAACACCTAATATATTAGAACAATTCACACAAGTTATTAATGATCTATAATCTTCTATTTTACAGCATCTCCATAGGTATAGTTACTCCCTTCTATTCTGCATCGCTCGTGGAAACTGTCCAGTCCGAGATTGCTTCTGAATGTCCCGGAATCTTGGATGTTTTTCGAGATGGTGCAATCCGCCTGCTTGATGTATGTAATAAGGGTAGACTTATTCCAATTTATGCCCTCGTACCACCCACTATAGTTTACGGAGTATCAAAATATCTTTTCACCCTCATTGTAAAAGGGGTTACTAGTCGGATTATGCACGTCAGGCATAAACATTCGCAAGAAGCAAAGGTATATATCTGGTTCTAAATAGTTCAGAAATTAAAGATGCATAGAGATATATTTTTACACAGAAATGTTATACTATTTTAGGGTGCGTATAGTAAGGACTTGCTATCCGAGAGCATCATCCAGGATATAGAGACACAGTCTATACTAGTTTCGATATGTGTAGCCGATGTTGTGTTTTATCCTCTCGAAACTGTTATTCATCGATTACATCTTCAGGGAACGCGCACCATTATCGACAACTTGGACACTGGAAGAAGTGTCACGCCGTTATTGACTGGATATACCAGTGCAACCGATTGTTACCGCACAATAATCTCCACCGAAGGACCACTTGGTTTGTACAAAGGATTCGGTGCCCTTATCTTACAATTCGCGGTACATTTCATGGTACTGCGCGCGACAAAGTGGCTCCTGACAGAACTGGGCACGATGTTGATGCCAAAACCTAAACCAATAAAGATACAAAAATCTTCGTACTATGATGAAATATAAAGAAAACCTACAACAAAAAATGTAAAATAATACAGAATTATTTATTATTTGTCTTTATTAACGATTATATAAGACAAAGAATTGAATTTCTAACGAAAATAATTTCCACGTATACTCTTCGATAATTTCAAGCATTATGTCGCAGATTAAAGAACTTTTATGCAGTTTTCTAATGCAATTGATGATAAAATTTTTCGTATCTGCGCGACTGTGATCACGCAAATTTTCTATATTGTACGTTTTACAATTGATGAGAGTTATAAGGAGCAAAAATAGAAATCTACATAAAAATTCTTAGAATATTAATTATGAAATTTATGAGATATCGACAATATTTGTAGATAGTCATTCTCATACAACATAGCAATTTTCAGTGAGTACTTTTTACATCCGATAAAATGTAATTATGTGATGTGATTTATGTGACTTTATTAGATTATTATATCGATATATTGTAGCTTGTTTATGAGATAAATAAAAATCACAGTATATACTGCAGTGACATATTACAGTTTATTACAAATACAAAACTATTGTATTAGGTGTTGGAATTAATTCGTAGCGTTTTTTAATGAAAGAATGTTATTTATTTCACATGAGCATTAAAAAATACATTAATGAAAGTACTTCCCATCACTTGTAAAACGCTACGAATTAATTCCAACACCTAATATAAGACATTAAGTCACTGTAAAAAAGTTAGAAAAAAATTCTGTACGAGTATCTTACCCCTGGTTTTTTCTTTCTTCTTTTAATTTTAATCAAATTTGCAGATGTATACACTCTAATCGTGATCAGATAAATAACTATTTCAATTTACATGCAAATATCTTCCTTTTTACAAACCTTTTATGACCCTTTTATAATCCTTCCTGAAACAGAAATGTGTGTGTGTGTGTGTGTGTGTGTGTATATATAAAGGAGGATATCCTACAAATAAGGTGTAATAAAAAGAAATCCATTATTTTTCCAATAGATGGCTTTAGTAATCTGTATCTCGCGTTGTATAAATGTGATCGGGTTACGCTAGATGGCGTTAGGAAGATAAGATTTCGTACTAAAAAAACTTCTCAGACAGTTTTGTGATTGCTTGACTCAGTATTGTTTGAGCGCGCGTCAAACATGGACCCTAGCAAAGAGAAGATACGTCATATTTTACAGTTTTTCTTCGATAAAGGCGAAAACGAAAGCCAAGCGGCTGAAAATGTGAATAGAGTTTATGGTCCTGATACTGTAACAGCCAATCACGCGCAATTTTGGTTTCGTCGATTCCGTTCCGGTAATTTTGATGTCAAAGCACCACGCTCTAGAAGGCCAATTGTCGAAAATGTCGATAAAATTAATGGAAATCGTCAAGTCCGACCGTCATGTAAGCACTGTTTCGATTGCCCAGAAGCTAAACATTGCACAAAAAACCGTTTGGAACCACTTGAATAAGGCTGGATACAAAAAGAAGTATGGGTGTCATACGAGTTAACGCAAAAAAACCTCATGGATCGAATTTCCATCTGCGAATCGCTGCCGAATCGCAACAAAATCAACCCATTTCTGAAGCGGATGGTGACTGGTGATGAAAAGTGGGTCACTTATGACAACGTCAAGCGAAAATGATCGTGGTCGAATTGCGGTAAGCCGGCGCAAACGGTGACCAAGCCAGGATTGACGGTCAGAAAGGTTTTGCTGTGTTTGGTGGGATTGGCAGGGAATCATCTACTATGAGCTGCTCCCCTACTCTTAATTCGGACCTGTACTGTCAACAATTGGACCGTCTTGAAAGAAGCAATCGCTCAGAAGCGGCCAGCGTTGGCCAATAGGAGAGGAATTGTGTTCCATCAGGACAACGCAAGGCCACACATCGATAGTGACTCGCCAGAAGCTCCGGGAGCTTGGTTGGGAGGTTCTTATGCATCCACGTTATAGTCCGCACCTGGCTCCAAGTGATTACCACCTGTTCCTGTCTATGGCGAATGATTTTGCTGATGAAAAATTCGCCTCAAGAGAAGCTTGTGAAAATCGGATATCTCAGTTTTTTATCAATAGGGACGAGGGTTTCTATGAGAGAGGCATAATGGAATTACCTTCAAAATGGCAACAAGTTATCGAACAAAACGGTGCATATTTGACCTAAATCGAATCATTCTAACTATACTAAGCCTTCAATTTCATGCAAAAATAATGGATAATTATCCATCTGTATACTCGATAAGAGAACAATTATACCAGTGTTTTTAATTACTTGTTAATTATATATATATTATCTATGTAGTTTAAGAATTAACTCTCTATCTATGAGTAGAGGGATTTGTCAATCGCTTCTGTGTGTCAACTAGATTACTATTAATTTTTGCCTGCGAGAGCTTTTAACTGGCAGATTGTTTTTGATCCGCTTGTAATAGTTATAAACAGCAACACTCAGCATCTTCTTTGTATATTCCTGGCCCATAATGCATTCGTTTAGATACTTGAATCTGAAAATATCGCATTAATGTCTATCACATTTTGCCTTGCTCTAAAATTAAAATAGATATAGATATTCGAATACTCGAAACATTTTTAATTTATTTAGATAACCATTCGTATTATCATATAAACTAATACTCATTATTAAAGTCAATTATCTCTTTTGAAAATGGAATTGGCTTTTTATAGAATTCTCCCCTCACTATCTTCCCATTTCATCTCCATTGCCTCCTTTAAACTCAGCTTCAAGTCAATTTCTGACTTTACAACGAAAAAATAAATGAAACACTTCTTACACTAATCTCGTAATTATTAACTAATACGTATTATTACTAATATCTGATTCTATTAAGTCTCATTTGGGTCGGAAAATCAAGCAGGGGCATAAGAAGTTTTTCATAAAATCTCATGAAATCTGAAAAACTAAAATATTTTTCTAGAAGTACAGAATGAGAGATCTTATAAATTTTACAATATATTTTGAAATTCACATTTGAAAAATTCTAGGAAAACAGAATTTTGCAGTATTTTTGACAGGTGTTCCAATTGTGCACAAATTATGAAAAAAATTCTTGTCACAGCTACTATATTATTTACCTTTATTAAATGTGTAAGACAAAAGATTGAATTTGTAACGAAGTTTCCGGGCGTATATATTTCTTTAATAATTTTAATAATTAAAATAAATGCACTTTATAATTTTTGTAACATTAATAATGAAATTTGTTAAATATACCGATATTTATAGATAGTAATTTTCGACATAGTTATTCTCAATATTATGAATACTTTTTACACTCGACGAAATGTAACTGTGTGATTTGTGTAACTTCATTAGATATCGGTATACATGTTATAAATTATTTAAGGTAAATAAATCAAAATATTTAATTATTTACTACAGTTGCATATTATAGATTTATTATAAATACAAGAATTACTATCTATAGGACATCAGATCACTATGAAAGAATTAGGAAAAAGTTCTATGCAAGTATCTCTTCACTCCGTGTTATATTTTGCACAGCCTGGTTTTTTTTCTTTCTTCTTTTAGTAGAGTAATTTTAATCAGTAAGTAAATTAGCAATAATTAGCGAGGATGTATAAGTTTAATTCGCACATTATACGCATCTCTCTTTTCACTAATCTACTATACTATGTACAATATATTACACATAAACACTTCTATCTATCTTGACATAAAAATAATCTTTTTATATTGTTCTTCACTTTCTTCGTCTTCTCTTGTAATGGCCGTTCCTCTCATTATCAGAAGACTGAATACTAATATCATATTTATTAAAATTATTATGCTACAAAGATATTCTTTTTTCTTAATTTTTCTTAAACAACGCGTAACAATAGCAATCTTTTTACAAACAATCCTGACGTGACAATATACAAAATTTATTATGAATGGTGACATTAAAATTTCTCTTTATTATATGGCTTTTTACAATTTCGTATTTAATTGGAATTTTTGTTTCCGTATTTTCACCCAGTCCATTTAATCAATTTACATATTCATGATGAAAGTTTGTTTCACCGCACCAAATATTATAGCATTTAGATTGCTAAATTGAATTTAATGACGTTGATATAATTGAATGCGCATATATATTATAATTTCTGTAATCTCTTTACGATGTTATATTGTTAGATATGAACGCATATTAACGCCGTTTTACTTTCGATGTTACCATCAATAATGCATGCAGAATGCAAAACTTGATTGGATGTGGAATGCTATGTATGATTTTTTGACTTTTCCTGCAATACGAATGAATTAAACGATACAAAATTTATTTACATTTTTTCCATTGTCAAGAATTAGGTCTTTATATTCTCATTATTCTGACGTTTTTTATTTTTATGCGACACTTTTCTTTTGGAAGAAGCATTTCTAATGCATGTTCCAAATAAGCAAACTGCAAAATATATTACAGTTTGCAATTTTATTATGAAATCAATTATATTAAATATATTAGCATTCACATTGTCAATATTGTTATCATTTACAGCAGATAAAATAATTTTCAGAGAAATTGGTTGGGAAGAAAAAAATTTATATATATATATATATATATATATATATATATGTGTGTGTGTGTATATAAGAGAAACATGTATCTGAAATACATGTACATTCCTCTCTTTGATACATTAAACAATACATTATATATAATAGTGCAGCAAACAATACGTTCAATATGGTACATAATATAAAAAATTGATAGAAATTCATCATAGCAAAAGAAAACAATTGAAGTTTGAGAAATATTCTAAATATGAAATATATACAGGACAGTTTGAAAACTATGTATGCGTTGTTCTCATATTATTTGCTTTTTTTATGAAATAATATATGTAGAAGAATATATTATGTCCTTTATAAAATAATTAAAATAGTTTTTTACGCGAATGTCCTAATTCAATTTTTTATCTATAAAAATTGTCCATCTATCGATAAGTAAACAGTTATACCAAAGTGTCGCATTCTTTAATTATTTGTTAATTATGTACATGCTGCGCCTGCTGAATGTCATCATCATTGCTATCATCTCGTTTCACGTATTGTGGTTTTTCAACGCCTTTCACGCACTGTTCTGTAATGTGAACGGACACTATATCGCTCCCTGGTACTTCAAACATAGGTTCCAAAAGGAGTGACTCCATTATCGCTCGCAAACCCCGCGCTCCCGTTTTTCTTTCCATTGCTAAAGAGGCAATTGCATTCAGTGCGTGTGTGTCAAACGTTAACTCCACCTGCGTAAATCCAATATAATTACAATTTAATGTGCTAACAACTAATGTGATAGAAAATAATTCATCTTGATTTTACTACGAAAATGTAACAATTAAACTTTACCTTATCCATCGAGAACAACATTTGATATTGAGGAATGATGGCATTTTTCGGTTCGGTAAGAATTCTCGCTAACATATCTCTATCGAGTGTATGGAAAGGCACGAGAACAGGAAATCTGCCAACGAATTCAGGTATCATACCGAAGTCGATGAGATCTCTAGCTTCCACTTGTTGCAACAACATGTCCTTTTCCTTATTGTCCCTCTCGGTAGAAGGTGACATATTGGCGACATCGGCTAAAGTTGCCGCTCTCCTGCCCGGACTCTCAACTGCAGGTGTCGCGCCAAATCCGAGATATTTTTCCGATTTACGCCGTGCTATTAACCTGTCTAAACCGCTGTAAGCCCCCGACGCTACGAAAAGAATATTCGTAGTATCCACTTGCAACATTTCCCCACGCAATTTTCTCGAGCTATTTCTCTCAGGTACGTTCACAATTGTTCCTTCCAACATCTTCAGCATTCCTTGTTGCACACCTTCTCCGCCCACATCACGCAATTGATGAATTCCAGGAATAGCACCTATTTTGTCGACCTCGTCCAAGAACACAATGCCCATCTGAGCACGATCCACCACATAATTAGCATCCTGGAGAAGTTTAGCTATGACACTTTCAATGTCCTCGCCAACGTAACCAGCTTGCGTAAGAGTGGTACAATCACAGATGGCAAATGGGACGTCCAGGCATTGCGCTATTGTTTGCGCAAGTAACGTTTTACCAGAGCCCGTAGGTCCAAGTAACAATATATTGCTTTTTTCTAATTTCAACTGATGTTGCTTGCTGTCTAATATAGCTGATCCAGGAGCCGATTGACTGCTCGCCTTTTGCTCGCTTCCCGGATTGACCGTATGCTGGAACCCAACTCCTGGAAACGGATTTCCAAGGCCTGATATATGCAATAAGTCTGCAGCAAAAAAAAAAGATATTTTATGATAATCGTATATGAAATAATACATTTTTAATGAGGGAGCAAATTATGGAAATACTGGTTATCAGATCGCAATCTGCTTCAATCGCTGTAAGAATTCGATTAGTTTTAAAATATATTCCAATTTTATGATACTTATTATAATAATAATCTAATTACAAAATATACAGATTGCTTTCATTTCTTAACAATTTATAAGATTGGGGCATTGTCATTTACGTGGTTTAAGACCTCTATGAGTGAAAGGATGATTTGTCTCTTGTGTGTTAACTGGATTAACATTAGTTTGCGCCTGAGAGTTTTGAGTTGGCAGATTATTGTAGATCCGCTTGTAGTGATTGTAAACGGCAACACTCAGCACCTTCTTCGCATATTCCTGTCCCACTACGTGTCTGTTTAGATACTCAAATATCTGAAAATATCATATTATTGTACTATTTTTTTTATTGCAAAACAAATATGATCCAAACGTATCTGATTTTATTTAAAACAAATCTATAATTACATAAATTAAGTACAATTAAATAATCAAAATAAAAACCAATTACCTTTTTCGGAGGTGGAGGAGGTTTCCTATAAAATCCCTGCTTACTATCTTCTGGCCTGAGTGCCTCTTTCAAGCTCCTCTTAGAATCAATTTCTGACAGTACAACGAAGAAATGATGGCACTTCTCGCACTTGACGAATCTCGTGGATGCTGTGATATTTGTAAAAATAGTAGCTGTATTAGAATATAATATAAGTACATATATAAAGATACAGAAGATCTTAACATAAATACAAATATAAATATTCTTGGTAATTTTTGCCTGAATACTTTAAGATCTATCAACTCTTACTCAACAATGTGCTACTTACAAACAAATGTCT